TTTTTTTTTTTTTTTAAAAAAAAACTTTTATTTGGTGATACTGGTAACTTTGATGCTGATTTGATAATATTTTTTTTCTCTGTTTTGTTTACTTGCCATGGTGGCATGTAGACATTCTTGACTCTAGTGATGATTATAATGATGTTAGAGGATGCCTTAGTTGTTTCTTTGTGGGCCATCAGAGGGAGCCCCAATCTTTTGCAGGAAAGACTGAAACCAAGCGCCTAATAGAGCAGCTTCTCATGCAGGAGACTTTCTCAAGGTAAGTAAGAACTTTATTTTCTTATTTGCTTATTTGGACTTTTGCCTGTTTTAATTCTTTTGTTCTTCCTCCATTGAGTGTCCTGCTCATAAATTATGTTTTCAACACCAAGTAATGCATGTGAATCATAACATTTGCAGAATTTGATTCTTTGGCAAACTTCACATGACATTTTTGAATTGATTATGCATTTCAACTGATTAGCACCCATATGTATCTCCCGTTAAGCATAATTTGACTTCAAGTTTTGAATGGATGCAAATTCTGACCAGGGAAGAGTGTGATAAACTAACAAATATTATCAAATCAAGAGTTGTGGACTCTCCCATGCTCACAGGCATGGGACATGCAAGACTAAATGAAACACCTAACAGAACAGGTGGAAGTGGTATGGCTTTCATAATTTTGACAGACACCTAATTTCAAGAATGAACTTCGCAGCACCCATGGTTGACTGGTTGTGTTTTTTATTTTTCAGATGTTGAAATTCATGATCTTTGCAGTGCAGCTGTTATGGAGGCAAGAAAATGGTTAGAGGAGAAGAAGTTAGGATCAAGTTCTAAGTCAGAATTGCACCATGAGACCTCTGCTCTGAATCCTGTTACATTCACACATGTTTGTAACTCCTTTTCTTATGATGCTTTTGGACTGTGCTTCGTTTTAAATTATTTCTTAGAAGGAAAATACTGCAAGTGTTAAGTCATGATACAGGAACTTTCTCTTGGGAAGGGATAATTGACAAGGGCTTTAGGCTTTAGTTAGATTATTATCACCATGATACTATTATGCTTTTGATAGCATCAGTACTGCACTAAAGATTTTCAGCATGTTTCATCTATGAATGCTAGCTTCTTGAACACCTGCTATGTGATTGATGCAAATTCACCCCCTTTGCCTCATATAACTTATGCTGAATGTTCATTTTCTTGCCCTTCTCCCCTTGGTTTTGTGCCATCTCCTTTCTGCTTTGAAGATTGAAATTGGGTTCTACCTCAAAATATTCCTTTTTTTTTGGTCTATAGCATCATTTTTTTTATTATTTATGCTTCTTGTGTTTAAATGTTTGTTTTCCTTATGTGGAAGATGTAATGAAGAAAAAATGTAGCTTGTATCACTGGGACGAGTTTGAATATATGGGCCATAAATGGATATAAAAGTTTTATCCTTTGGCTTCCTAAGTTTAGAGAAAATTCTTACAGATATAAATTTCTTATGATGTGTAGCTGTGCCAGTATGTTGATTTTATGGTTTACTCACACTTATGTAGGCAATGATGAAAAAGTGATGCCATTTCTGTTGTGCATAATTTTTAGTGGATTACTGATGTTAACACCAATGTTGTTGAAAGAAAACTTATGATGAAAAATGTTGATATCTTAATATTATGCTAGTGTAAGAATATGTCCGTTTCTAACTCAATAAGTTTCTATTGTTGCAGGGTGCTGAAGGGGAAACAGGATCACCTGTGGATGTGGCCAAGTCATACATGCGAACTCGTCCTCCATGGGCATCACCTTCTACAAAAAATATTGGATTTAGATCTTCATCACCAATTGGGATGCCACTTTTCAAGGAAGATACACCATATTCAATTGGTGGCAATTCCTTCTCCTCATCCAAGGTGCTGTTATATGCTTATTTTGATTTATGAATATATGTAATTATTCATATATGTATTTTATGGGCATTAAGTTCGCTGGTTTTCTTTAAATTGTTTATGACATTATAGTCTTATTAATAGATGTGTTTTTGTGCCATCGGAGGAATTTTAATTTCCCGGAGGGCATTGTTTTGAGGTACTTTCTTTATTTTTATTAATGAAAATCGTGTAATATGGTTCAAGACACTAGAAGTGTTTCCTATTATGCTAATGATCATTTTGGATTAATTTAAAATACCTGTGAGAAGACTGATGGCTAGTCATGTGGTTTCTTTGGCATATAGCATTTGGTTTGATCATAGATTGATTCAGATTATAAGTTTCCAACTGACCTCTTTGTGTTATTAAGTGATTGCTTTTGTGGTTGAGCCTGTGGTTAGTGTTTTTCTTTCTATGCACTCATATCAGAAAAGAAAGTATACGCGTTTCTTGGATGTGAAGCTTTTTGAAACTTGGTTTAGTGGATTGGAAAACGTGCGTGCACTTATACTTGTGTATGAGTAATGTGCATGTGGGTGTGAGTGTGAGTGTGATCGTCTTTGCAGTGCTTTCTTCTGTTGGCTATCATTTGATTTGCTGCTTGTATGTATAACATGAATGCAGCTGAAAAGGGGTTCTCCTGCCACCGGCTCATGGAACATCCAAGAGGAAATACGGAAAGTGAGATCCAAGGCAACAGAAGAAATGCTGAGGACTCTATCATCCTCAAAAATTGACTGGTCTTCATTTGCATTCGAACATAAAAGTGGTCCATATTCATTAGTTGCCAAGACCTTAGTACCTGCTGAGGAAGATAACCCACAGAGCTCTACAAAGTCAGTAGATGCATCTGTAGACTTGGGTGCAAGGCCAGGTTTAGTTTTTAACTTTTCTGAAGGAAGCTCCGTTGCTTCGTGGACATATTCTCATCGGATAGTATTTCCTGATTTTTAAAATTCGGCTAGTTTGTTCAGTTTCTAGGTAGCAATAATCTAAGACATCACTTCTCCATTTTTGTCCTTTCAGTTACACAGATT